AAAATTCAATTGCTTTTAATTTAACTTCATCAGATTGGTGATAAATTCCTTTAATATCACTACTAAAACTGGATTGCGTTTTTGTTGCAATTTTTTTAGCGTGTTTTTTAAGTGTTGACAAAATACAATTATTAGCTGATTTGATTAAATTTCCTCTTCTTTTCGATTCACGTGCTTTTTGCACACTTTCTAATTGTAACCCAAATACAAGAGAACCCGAAAGTGTAGTTTTGGTTCTTGGTTTTAAAGTCTAAGGGAAAAAAATACATTAATAAATTAAACAATTATAGTTAATACAACATTATAACATTAGCTTTAAATACTTATTCTTTCATAAATTAATGCTGTGTTAAACAGAGATTTAGTTGAAGAAATAATATACTGAAAGTTTAAACCATATCTAATACGAAACTAAGGTATTTTGTCAATATAATCAATTTCACAGCAAACTGTTTATTTGCCAGCAGCCTGTCCCCAAGTTGTTTTTACAACATAACTATGTGGAATTTTATACTGTTTACTTTGCCTTTTCCTTCTAATATTGCTAGTATCTTGCAAAGTTTCGGTTCATTCTTTTTGTTTATTACTTGGCCTAGTAACAATCTTGTTAGGATAAATACCCTCTTTTATAATAACATAACTAAAACTACGTTTAGTTTTTTGATTTACGTGTTTCTAGTATAAAATATTATTATTCAAAGGATATGTGAAAGTTTCTTGAATTTGAACACCATACTATAACTGCGGGGCAAAACCCTAAACCCATTTTGGCAAAAGTCAAAACTTTTTAGAATTTGTTTAGACAGTTTCGACAGGTTTCGATGGGTTTCGATAGGTTTCAACGGGTTTTGATGGGTTTTGATGAGTCTTGAAAGTTTCGACAGTTTTGATAACAACTTTGCGAATTCTAATTAAATTCGACAGGTTTTAACAGGTTTATCATATCACAAATCATAGAATATATAAAAAACTTTTTTTTTTTTTTTTCTTTTAATTTTATCTAACACAACCCATTTATCATAATAATGAGC